TCATTCTTAAAATTATATCCGAAAATAAGCACCTCTTATAACAAAAAAAGGGTGCTTAATTTCGGAACTATACGGTAGTAATCTAAAAGGCAGTGTTATATTGTAATTTAGATGTACTAAATCAAGTAATTTATACATAAAATATCTATAACTATATCAAGCAACCATCATGTTCATCCGTTATTTGTACTCCAAAAACCTAGAACTTGTACTTTGGAACAGAAATTCAAAACCCGGGATATGATATACATAAACTATACAGAACAAAATTAATAAATCATGTTTATACACATGATTATCCATGGATTAGGAGACAACCCCAAAGACACATGTCGGATAAACATAGTAAGGGAATAAATATCGAAAATTATAGGTATAGAATTACCTAAATAAGTTTAATCTAATTAATAAATGTTTTGCGATTTAATTTACGTGGCTGAGTTTGAATCTTTACTAGATTCGTCAATCGAATGATTTTTACATAAACTTATTATTAAAATCACTTATTTGTACACGCAATTAATTTTTTTTTGCATTTAAGGTAAGTTTGGATTTAAAGCCAATCAATGAAAGTTTAAAATCAAGATTCGCTTTCGCACCATCTATTAATTATTTTTTTAAAAGAACTTTAAAAACCTTTGTAACACGTTTAAGGCAGGTGTTCATAATATAATAATAAGAAATTCTATTTGGTGTTCAAGTTTTTCACAATAATATTCTAAATTTTGATAACATTTTATTATTAATGGGTTGCTTTTTAGGGGTCATATAAAGCGGAGGTCAATCACGTGTCTACGGACCAATCAAATTATAGAAATTTTGATAAATCTTACGAAGTAAACCCTATTATTAAATATGCTGGGGAGGAAATAAGGAAATACTGAATAATATGTAACCCAACATAAATGTCACTAACCTTAAATTTATGAGTTCCCACCTTTTAGGTTAAACTTATAACGCGAAAATCAGCTATAAGTTGTCAAGTTTTGAAATTATTACTCCGAATAACTTTACTCGACTACAAAAATCGGGTTTAAACGTGCCTCACGCGAAAAATAAATTTTTTGCTTATTATTGATATCCCTCAATGAATTTGAGGGAGAACTTCAATGGAGAACCACTTCAATGAAGAGCTTCAATGAAGAACTTCAATGAATACTTATTCATTGTGTCTATTCAGATCTCTAATGACTTTTTCGACAACAAAATTGCCAACTTCTGAACTTAGCAATAGATATTAAGTGATCGTGATCACAATGCATAAAGTATTTATAATTTTGCATCAATTACTGTCAACTACTGTAAATTGCTGTAAATTGCTGTAAATTACTGTAAGCATATTTTTGTATAATAATAGTTCGGAATTATTCGAAATAGATATAGCACATAAGAAAGTTTTCTGATCGAACACACCAAGGAGTTTTCTTGTCAAACAGAATAACTATGGCGAGTCAAATATGATTAACTGATTGAATAAACTTTACATGCAACATTAATTAAACAATTAATTACGTGTAATTATAATTAATTTAAAAAATCTTTATTATTTACAACCAAAAAAATATATATATATAAAGTAACATACACGTAATGAATAAAAAAAAAGATTTTTTTTTTTTTTTAATAATCTTGAAAAATCTATTAAATGTTATTATATTCTATTAAAATCTTTATACATTTGTGCGTGAAAAAAAAAAGAAAAAGAAAGAAAGAAAAAAACCGCTATTTTAATGATTTTTTATTTAAAAATAAAAAATTTTTTTTTTAAAAATTTTTATTAAATATTTTAAAATTTTTTTTTTTTTTTTTTTTTTTTTTTTGAAATTCGGTTAAAAAAAAAAAAAAAGTATATAAAGAAGAAGTATATATAAAGAAGAAATTGTCTTTAAAAAAAAGTTAATATAATCTTGGAATATCTTCGTAACTCCATTTAATGTTATGTTCTATAAAGACTTTTTGATAATCACGGGAATAAAGATTATCTAAAAGTGCACCAGAAGTATATAAAGTCTTTAAATTTTTTGAATTCATAGAATTAAAAAATAATTTATAAGTAAAAAGATCAAAAGCCGGTCTCTTTTCTCTTTCAGTTATAATTAAATTTCTAAGATTTGAAGGTAATTGTCCTGCAATTTGTAAAAAGAAAGAACTATCTAAAGAAAAATCTATTATAAAAGAAAAATATTTTAAATGAATACAAGAAGATAAAATTGATGAAACATCAAATTTTCTTATTTGAGGTAATTCCAAGTATTCTAATTTTGAACAATGTTTAATTATCGTTCCAACTAATTCAGAATATTCACCAGATATTCTTAAAACGAGACATTTTAGATTATTATTTAAAGTTAATAAATTTATAATAATACCTAAAATGTAAGGGTCTATAGAATTATAATCACAAAATTCAAATTGGGATAAATTTTGAGTTTTACAAATAAAATTTTTAAAGTACTTATTGTCTAATCGACAACAATTAATTAGTTCAATTGATTTAAGAGATTTAACAAAATCATCGGAAAAAACTTCTTTAAAAGAGTCAAAATCAACCTTATTAAACCTTAAAGATTTTAAAGAATTAGATTGATTAGATTTTAAAATATGAATTAAAGGTTTAAGGATTTGATGACATCTATTTAAAGCAATTTTTTCTAATTCCCGTTGAGATTTAATCAATTGTACTATAGAATCATTAAAATCATGAAATTTAGAATCAATATCAATTTCAATGAATTTAATTCTTGAACAAGAAGAAATTAAAAGAGAATTTAAAAAAGGGATAGGGCTATGATCGGAATTATTAGAGATAGAAATTTTAAGAAAGGATAAATTTTGTAAACAAGATAAAGGTTGATGATCAATAAAAGGCCAAGTAGCATCATCATCAAAAGCCAAAGAATTAATTCTTTGAGCTCTTGAAAAAAATAGGTCATGAAGAATTCTATTTAAATGTAAAGTAGCTTTTCCTTTTTCAACGGACCATTTTTTGAATAACCAAGCCTCAGTAAGTCTACTAATGAATTTATCAGTAATTTTACGAAGAAAATACGGATAATCAAAAGCAGGAAGACATCTCCGAGGAGCATGTGGAACGGGAATATTATTTGCTTTTAAAAATTTTTTCATATCTTGAGATAGACAAAGTAAATAAGTTCTTACGAGAAGTTTAAATTTTTTAAAACCAGGATTTGGAGCTTGCCATAAAATAGGAGTAACGATTTTACACCATTGTCTATTAACCAATAAACATAAGAATAAATCGCTTGGTTTAACAACATTTAATAAAATTTCTTGTAAAACTTCAATTGAAAGACGATTTATTAAACCAGAATGAGGACGTTGATGAGATAAAGAATGTAGAGAAGAAGTTTGCATAGGTTGAGGATATGAAGAAGAAGAAGGTCGTCGTTGTCGTTGCCGTTTAAATAAAGAAATTTTTTCAATTGGTCGATTCGCTTGAACACCAAGATGAGTTTGAATAGAAATAATTCTAGAGTTTGGAAGAGTATTAACATTTATAACGTTAATTGTTCCTGGTAGTTGAATACTAGATATAATTTGTCGAGGATAATGTTGACCACCATTCATAAAATTGAAATTAAAATTTTGAGAAGCCGAACCCAAGATATTGTTATTTGTATTATAAGAGTTACCAATATTTGGTAAAAAACATCTAAAAGAAATTAAGCTACTAGTCGAAGAACCAAGGTTTGTCGAATTATTATTTACTAAATTGTTTATCGGATTAATTGAAGGTAAATTGATCGGAGGTAAATTAATCGGAGGTATAATCGAATTAATTGGAGGTAATTGTTGCCGTTGAGACTGATATTGTTGAGGATGAAATTGTTGATCCAAATATACTTGATTATTTTGATTATTTGATGAGATTGGTTTCTGAGTAGACGAGGGATCAAGAACCGACGAAGACAAAGAAACCATAAAATTATCCGTTAAAGAATTCGTATATGAATCATCTGACTATTATTTTTTAAAAAAAAATTTACGAAAGATGAATATAAATGTATATTATAAAATAAAATAAACAAGCATAAATTAAAAAAAAATAAAGAAATAAAATAATTACAATCTCATCCATAAATGAAAATTGATCCATATTATCAGTATTTACTATTGAATCGGTTGTATTGTTAATACCAAACGAATACATTTCAGAGGATGAGATCGTATTTTTTACATCACAAAGGTTAGTTGAGTCCAAAGGAGTAAGAGGCGAAGATGAAGCAAGGGACGGCAGTGGAGAACTCTGATTATCAGGACGCATATATTCATCTTAAAAAAAAAAATAATTAATAATAAAGTTAAAAAAAAAAAAAAAAACGTATAACTTATGTATGTTATGTAAGTTATGTAGATGTATGTATGTAAGAAATTATAAATATTTACCTATTTGAAAATCCATCTTTTTATCTTGCTCGCCAAATAATTCAAAATCACCGGAATGAGAAGATGAATCAATATTATATTGATTTGTTAACCATGATTGTTGAGATAGTATTTTATAAGAATCAGTTTGATCAAAGTAATAATCATGACATGGTTTAGAGTCCAAGGTACTATTAAGCTGTGAAGAATCACCGTGAGTTTGAAGTAAAGTAGGAGTTTGTGGTGGTTGAGAGACGAGTTGAGACGTTTGAATAGAGTCTTGTAAACCGGTATTAATTATTTTGAAAGAGGATTTATTCGATATGTTTTTTTGTTGAAAATCGAACATTTCTCACTATCAATTGTTTAAAAAGGTTTTAAAAAAGCACAAAATGGCTTTATATAGTTTTTTTAGCCGATGCACTCGACCTATAAAAATATAAAATCCAGAAGAATCTTTAATATTTTTATAGTATTATTTTAGTAGTAAACTTGATGATATTGATGAAAAAACCTGACAGGTCTAACAAAAAAAATAAAAATAATAAAAGAGAAAGTGATAAATAAAGTACCTGTTATATTTCACGAGAAAGATGTGAAGACGTGAGTTATTTATTTTAGATAAAATTTTGATCAAGCCTTTTGTACTTCAATACTTGTTGAATAATTTAATAGACACATCTTTTTTTCTTTATGATTAACATATTTAGTTAGAATCTTTATATTCTTTACATAATTGTCCTAGCCAAATAAGCAGGGCTATACAAAACGAACACAAACGTTTTTTGTGAATACATAAACCATCATCGGAAAGTTAATTGATGCATACATGCAAATATTTATATCTGTGTCAAATGGCGTATTAATATATAGTATACTTTCAATGCCGATCATATGGATGACCATTTTGTGTTAAGGAGCAGCCCGACTTACCTAATACCAAGCTGATACTGGTAATTTCACTTATATAATTCTAAAAGTGGTAAATTTACAGTTATATATATATATTTTAAATTACACAGCCTTGAAAATAATTGTTACCTAAAATTTTTAAAATTCATTTACAGTGGCAGTTTATCGTTGTTTAAGTCGTTGAAAAAGGGATGAGGAGAAAAAAAATAAAAAAATAAAAATAAATAATAATAAATAAAAATAAATAATAATTATAAAAAAGGATAATGAGCATTTATTGTTGGTTAAGTGTTATACGACGTACGCATATATGCACAAAACGTATGTAAGTAAAATGTAAAATGTAAATGTTTTACACTAACTACGACGTACGTACATATAATACATACCAGATACATACATACATACGTACGTACGTACGTACTGTACATACGTTCGTTCGTTACATATCTTCGTTACATACATACGTACGTATGTATATGCTTTGTGCATCGGTAAATAATAATATTTTAATTCCGTCCGTCAAAAAAAAAGAATATTTTTTTTATGCAATCACCTGAAACTTTAATTGTATTCAAAAAAGAATGGTCTTTTTTAACTATATATATAGAATATATAAATGATTTTAACGATTTTAATATTATATTATATTATAATATTATATTATAAATAAAAATTAATTATGAATATTAATGCTATCATTCGTTGTTAATATAGTTGTAATAATGTTTTAAGAATTATTTAAATGAATATTTTAACGTTAGCATTTTCGTTATAGTCTGCAAGCATGTTTTACTTTTTCTATTATTATTATTATTATATTATTATTATTATATTATTATTATTATTATTATTATTATTATTATTATTATTATTATTATTATTATATTATATTATTATTATTTATTTATTTATTTTACCACATTGCCACATTTATGCCAACCGTTGATTAACTATTTCCATTATTGAATCAATACTATCGTTATATAATTGTTATATAACCAATAAAATTTGACCAATAAAATTTGATCAGGTGAAGTGGCTCCAAAACGGCTAAAATAGAAAGAAAAAAAAACAAAAATAAAAAAATCAAATTTACTTATAGATCATGTTCTTTTTTATTTACCTCCATTCATTGTTCGGGTCCTTTGAAGATCTGAAACATGAACAATATATACTTTCAATGCCTTTTCAAAATATTTATAAACCACGTACGTACGTACGCACAGTATTGGTACGTATATATAAAGTTTATATATAAAGTTTATATATAAAGTTTATATATAAAGTTTATTTATAAAGTTTAATTAATAAAACCGTAAGGTAAAAACCAATTTAATCATCAACGCCCTAAAATTTCCCAAACGGGTATTAGAGTAACCATTTTAAGAAGGTCGGTGAATTTAATTCACTATAAGATTCGTCACATAATAAGTACCAGAACCATGAGTTCATATTTACGGGATCCAAACCTACTATCATGGTTATATTACTGACTGTGGCGATAACGCGGGAACATCATAACCCGGCTTTTCATTACCATTCTTGAGTTAAATAGTTTATCAATAATTATAATAATTATAAATAATTATAATTAAAAACTAATTAAAAACTGATTAAAACTATTAAAAAAAAACTGATTAAAACTGATTAAAAACTGTTTTAAACTGATTTAAAACTGTTTTAAACTGCGCAAAATCATTTATCCAATAGATAAATCTACTGAAAATCTCGGTGTAGCAGAAAATGAAAAATGATTGGCGCTGGTAATATCATACGATTGAGAAATGACGTAATTAATCATGTAAATGCCTTAAAGTTTCTAAATTTAGTAATCCTTAATTATTTTATTTTAGAATGCTTAAAAGGCGTAAATGTCTACTATTCTGAAAAGGTTCTATTTTATTGCTTATTGATCAACTTTTCATCCAATGTAAACGTATGTATGTACGTACAGTGCTGTACTGCTGTAATAATAATTATTATCACCTGAGAAAAAAAAGAAAAAAAAAAAGAAAAAAAACTTTGATGACTGACTTTATACAGGTTTGTGTGAACATTGATAAGGCATTTAGAAATCTAAAAGAAAAAAATAAATAAATAATAGCAAAAAAATCAGGCCACTTTTTATTTTACGTTTTTACGTCAATTTTTGTGATTACGTTATATTTATGTTATTATTATTATTTTTTTTTAATTAACAATAAAAAATAGCTTAACAGTAATAGTTAAAAAAGTACTTACTCGCTTATCTATAAAATTCCATTTTTTATTCAAACAGTCACTATGTTTCTTTTGCTTATAATAAATGCTTTAATCATCACTTATCGTTATTCAAGCAAATGTTTATTTAGGCAATTCGTATATTTAACGTTTCAGCTAATAGGATTTGTGTCGGCCCATCCGTTCATTCAATTTTATTCATTAATTGGCTCTTATTAATAGTTAATAGTTATATACAATTGGATTCAAACCTTAAATGAGTCTTCATTGGTTTGAAAATAATTCATTAATTATTATTAATTATTATTAATTATTATTATTAATTATTATTAATTATTATTAATTATTATTATTTATTAATAAAATATAAAAATCAGTTTGTTTTTTTTTTAATTATCGTTATTTTCGATAATCCTTTGTCGTTATTCATTCAAAAGATTGCACATGACATATCCTAATACGTATGTCGTACGTACGTTTTATACGTTCACAAATTTATTCAAAAGGTAAGTATTACCTTTTTTCTTAATTAATGAATGTCTATCTTTCGGACAATAAGTCTATATTAATTATATGAATTATATGAATGGGATTTTGTATTTTTAATTTTCATTTATTTTTTCATTTATTTTTTTTTAAAATCCGGATTAAATTGTCCAAATTAAATAACTCTATTCTTTAAAAGTTGATATATAAAAAATATTAATTCCAGGATTAGAAAAAACTATAGGAAAATGCAATTCTCACTTACCGAGTAAACATGCATAAACATATGACCTGGTGAGAAATATAAATACTGTACATTCTATCATGTGAGATTATATCATAAATTCTTGGGAACAACGTAACAACGTTTGGATAAATACAATGGTAATACTTCAATACTTCAATACTGTACTTATATAATATATAATAGTAAATTAAAAAAAGTTCCGATTAAGTAAACAATGTACTTTAAAAAAACGCTCCGCAAAAATAAAATAAAATATAAAATATAAAATAAAATATATAAAAAAATAAAATAAAAATATATTTAAAATAAAATATATTGTATAATTACTTAATAGATTTTTTTATTTTTTATTTATTATTTATTTTTTATTTAATACTTTTTTACTAATTCATGTAAGTATAAGCGATGTAAATAGTATTGCGCAGATTACGCATACATACAAATATTGCAAATCAAAGAAAAATGTCTTAACGTTGACATATTAAGGATTTTAATAACTTTAAAAATCTATAATATTCACCAATAAGTTCTTACTATTGCTGCATTAAATTTAACCACTAAATTCACGTGATAAGTTTAAAGTATTTTATGCAATAACATTCTATTTTGACACTGTACACATTTTCTAAAGATACTACACGAACAAACTGTCTTCAAATTCAGTTGTTTTTGAAACTTGAAATTATAGTTTAAAAGGTAGTTTATGACACTAATTTTCTTTTGGTTGTAAAGTACAGAGTTGAGAAAGAAAACTTGTTGAATGTTGAATTAAACGCGTTAAAACAAAAAAACTAACACGTGAAGAAAGAGTCGTTATTATTTAACTAACTGTAAAGAAATCACAATTAATAATATATATATGTGTTAAAAAAAATGATTTACAGTCACAATTTATGATGCCTCATAAATTCAGGTAACGTTAATGAAATTTGAAATAATTACATGATTTTACTGTATTTCACTGTATTTTACTGTATTTTTGAGATATCAGTTTGAATAAATAAATTAAATTTCAGTCATTAAAGATCTTATACGATTCAAATATTAGTGATGTGAAACTTTATACGCCGAACTATCAAATTAGACAATATTAAATAACAAGGTATTTATTTAATCTCTATGACAAAATCAAAAAAAACCAAAAATTCGTCAAATATCAACACTAATAAATAATAAATAAATATATATATATATATATATTAAAGAAAAAAAGGTTAGAACCCTTCACCATATAATTGTCAAGAAAATCACGGAATGTCGTATCAGTTTACGCAATAACAGATAACTGATAAAATTTTTTTTGGTAAGTCAATCTATCATAAATATTACTATTGTTATGATACACAAGAAATTATTTATTAAAATGAAATGATATTTTTTATTATAAAATTTCTTTTTAAATACTTAATTATATCAAGAACTGCTCGATAATGAGGCATGTGCTATGTAATTACAGTCACATGTTAAATCGAATTATCAAA